ATCTATATACACAAACAATTTTGTCTTTTCTAGATGAATTGGTTATGTACACCGGTAAACTATGTGCATGTAGAAAAATGTGTATAAACAGGTTTTTCCAAAAATCAAATTTACGTTTTCTTTTGCATTTTTATATGTGGTTCTCATGGATTTTCTCCCCTTTACACAAAGTTCAACCACACATTTTTATTTTATCATTTTATGTGCCCGTCAAATTTGACAAAATTATAAAGAATGAATGACTATTTCAATTTACATGTATGAGCTGTTTTGAATATTTTCTCTTACTTATTTTGAGTTTTTTCACAAATATTACTATATTAAAACACAATTCCTAAAAAGTTATTATTACTTTTACTTTTACAAGGTGCATACTAAAATTGGAAAATTATGAATATCAATAGTAGCTAATTATGTCATTGACAATAAGGGTGGGTTTGTGTTTTTCTATTCTGTGTTTTGACCTAAAAACAAATATAGAACCAAATTAAAAAGTTCGGATCGTTTTTTGATTTCAAAACCTGAAGTTATGTTTTGATTGGTTTGGTTTGTACGTTTTGATTCAGCTATGATTTTTTTTAATTTTTTATTAAAAAAATCTTGGCATTATTGGATTTAAAATGATACTCCCTCCGTCCCATAATTACTTCAACTTTAACTTTTCGTTTGTCCCAAAAAGAACTTCTCTTTCTTTTTTTTGCAAAGAATTTGTGATTTACAACAATTCTTACACATTTCTCTCTCATATGCACAACTCTCCACCACACAGTTTCTACTTTTTCAATCCGTGTACCATTTGTACTATGGAAGTAAATTCTGGAACGGAGGGAGTACAATAATTGGGGGTGAATCATGTTGCAGTATTGAATTTGAAACAAAATGTAGAGTAAGACTATATATTGTCTATACAAAATAAAAAAAAAATTGTTCTTTAGAGTTGTTCAATTTAATTCTTTCTAATTCATTTTTTTTAGTTTGAAAAAAGTTCATGAATATGAACGTTTATGAGTTACATTTGAGATGAATATTTATTTATTTTGTCAGTATAAAACTTTAGGTTACATTAGAATAGAAGTTACTAGTAATAAGCAACAAAAACACATTACCGTGCAACAAAGTAACAAACTATAAAATACATTAAAAAAAATTAACACAGAGTAGGAAATGAAATTGTAAATAATTTTTGAAAAACGAACTAAATGAAATATATAATATCTTTAAACAAAAATGATAAATATAATAAGTTATCATCTGATAAGAATATCGTAATACGTATAACACAAAACATTTACTTTTTAGCACTAGACAAATCAAATACTAACAATGATATTAGAATTAATTTGAAAGGTGAAAATAGAAATCGAACCAAACAACCTAACTACGGTACCATTCAACTTTTTGCATTCAGTTTAGGTTTTCTCGTGGTTCAATTTAATTTGATTCAGTGTTTATTTTTTATTTTTCGAACTCATCCCTAATTGACAATTGCTTTTATATCACATCCAGTTTTTCTAAATAGGAGTAAGTACGGTCATTCTAAAACTATACTCTTACCTTTGTCTCTTGGACATTGTCAACTTTGAATAAGTGATAATTAATAAAAATTAAAACGATGTGATTGAGATTTATACAGAGAAGAGAGAAATAATTGAAATCACAAATTAGTTACTTTAATGAGAAAGAGTCATATATTTTTTAAAAACTAAAAAATGGCAAAATATAATGGGGCCGAGGGAGTACTATATAATATCATTCTCCATATATAATAAAGACATTATTTTAAATAGGAGTAAAAATGTTTGTGAATTTCAAAATAGGATTATAATATTTTTATTCTATAAACAAGAGTACTAATTTCAAAACATGGCAAGTACTCCTAGCTAGTTTTGAACTTCAATACATTTTTTCTTTTATTTCGGGAATTTCAAAATAGTATAATTTCATGATTATGCTACTATACATATACGGAGTACTTAGAGCATTTTTAGTGGTTCCTTTTAAGGACTTGTTTGCAATTTTAAAGCTAATACTTTATCATCGGAGCATTGCTTTTTCTTTTGCTTGAGAAAGCTAATTAGCCAAAATGAGCTACTAGTTTGAGCAAAGGGAATTACTAAATATAGCACTATTAATAATAAATGAAGAGGAAGATGTTATAGTAACTGTTGGAGTACATTTTAATTTTACTGTAAATGCTTATGTGGCTAGTCAAGCTATGAGAGTAATTGGCTAAGCGCTGGAGATGCTCTTATGAGTTAGATAAATCGGCTTATTTTTACTTCAAAACAGCCTTTTGTACACACTCTTATACACATTTTTGTACACACCTATGTTTGTGAAAGGTTTTTTTTTGTCTGTGAACATCGACTCACAGACAATGTTTTGCACAAACAACATATTGAGGAGTCTCCTTTTCGCAAATCACATATGTAATTATGGGGCCAACAAAAAAAAAGCTTCACAAACATGGTGTGTATAAGATGTGTACAAGGGTGTGTACATCAAGCAGTTTTGTTTTCACTTCTTTACTAGGAAAAGCTCCAAAATTAAAGGATACCTTATAAGAGTATCTTCAATGTTACAATGTGTACAGTGCACATGTGGCATGAGAGAAATAGATATAAAAGATTAAATTTATGACATTTCTCTCTGCTTTTTTTCACGGTGTTTTTTGTAACTTTTTCTCAACAATATTAACCACAATGTCTACATCTAGTTATTGTGGAGAAAAACTTACCAAAAATATATAAGACCGTTCAAATAAGGAGAGAGATATTATATTTGTTGTTTTTAATGAGTTATATCTCATGTCACATATGCCTCATTCACATTTTTGCATAGGAGATGCTATAAACCATATACCCCGTATAAGCTTTTATTTACAGAGTGATTTATTGTTTGGGAATGTAGATGCAATATAGGGGCTGTTTACTAGAACTTAATGGACTTAATGGAATTGATGACTTAACCATTCATTCATTAATTGGTGTTTACATAGAACTTAATAAAACGTATGACTTATTCGCTAAGTAAAAAACTGACTTATTTGCTTAGCAAAAAAAGGCACTCTTCCGACTTCAGACATGAAAGAGACTAATTTCTCTCTTTTAACCTTTGCTGATAGTTTCTTTTGTCCCCACCCTTTGAAGAACGAGTTCTCCAACGACGGAAAAAAAGAGAGCAAGATCGATCATATCTTTTCAAGCAAACATATTCGTCACTTGCAGCTCTACACCTTCACTATTCAATATTTCTCTAGATTACTTCTCCAATTCTTTATTTTTAAATTTTCATACATGCTCTACTCAAAACATCATATGTGCTATTTGCCAGTCCATTTTGAACCAAGTGGAAACTCCCATACAATCAGCTTGCTTACCTTCCTACCTGGATCAATTTTATTGGAATAGAAACCATTTTCATTCTTTACATTATAGTGGTCGTTTTCAAATGAAACCATAGACAAACACTCATCTTCAATTTTATTGGAATAGAGGAAATCATAGACGAACTCCCAGTTTTGTTTAAATAAAAATTTAGCTCTTTAATTTTAGAACTTATTTAATATGAGTAATTATTTGTTGTTTCTATCTCTAGAAATTATAGAAATTAGATGTCAATTATCTTTCGAAACAAGGAAAGTAAACATACAGTATACAAACAAGAGGTTTATTTGGTCATTTGACATGATTAGGACTTCTCATTTAGTAAACAATTTATTATCTTAATCTCACTTAATACAAACAAACAACTCAATCCAGACAAACGTCTTAATTCATTCAGAATTAAAGTAAACAACCCCATAGACTACTCCGTATATATATATAGTTGATCCATGAATTATACATATGCCTCATGTAGTCATGTACTCCGTAATTATTTTTTATTCGACGAGCATGCAAGACTTGAAAGTCGAGAATCGAATCGGAATAAGAGCGTCATAAGTGAATTAACCTGCAAGACTTGAAGTCTACTCTTATTGATTGAACCTGCAATTCGAATCAAATCAACGGAATATATGATTATATTCTACTACTACACAAAACCATTTTTACTACCAGCCAATATATACTTGTCGTGAGACGGATTTATACGGCTTTTAATGGGAAAATAAATGAGCGACCCAGATTAGGAATAATAGTCTTTTTGCTTGGATTGAAATTTTATGACCAGATCTTGTGTTGTTTGATCTGCTTAAATCCGGTCTAGTGAACTGGTCTGATAGATGTTTGATTTTTGTGTATTTTATAATTGTAGAAGCCTGATCTGATCTATTAAAATCTTGTATGATCTAATTTATTTAAGTCTGATCTTATATGGTATATGCGGCCAAAGTGAAGCTTAATGTGACATTATGAGCCTTCTCCTATACCAACATTGAAGCACACACAACCCTTCACCCGGACCTGCATCCATATTGCTACCTACAGGTTCATCATAAGATTAAGAGCCCGCTCGGTAATACTAAAATCGGCTGAATCGGTTGATTCTGCTGATTTATAAAAAAGTTATACCTAAAAAATATTTTAATAGTAGAATAAACAAATTATATGAAGAAATAGCTAAAATGGTCTTCTACAATAACTTCAGCCAATATAATCAGAAATGCAACTCTAATCGTATTTTTTCTTATTATTACACAATTCAACGCATTAAATAAAAAGTTTTGGAGTTTTTTTTTTCCGGAATAATGCAATTTAAATAAATAATTACGTAATTGCTGGTGGGTTAAAAGTATTTACGGATATACTGTTGGGCCTAACCCGAGTTAGGCAAAGTCGCCAAACGGTTTGACGACTTTGTCTTGAAAAAAGCCGGGTCACCCAGCAGCAGAACACATAACGCAGACATCAGCCCCAAATTAACCTCCGACGAATTTTCGAGCTCCAAGCTACGGAATCGGCGATTTCGGCTACTCCACCCACGAAGGACACGTCAAATCGACCTTCTTCAACACTCTTTACTCCAGGTTTGAAATCTCCATTTTATCTTCTAGGTAAATCAAACTCCATTTCATCTCATATTGAAGTTAGGCTTTTGAATGTAAAAATTTCAAATTTTTAGATTAAGAATTGATTTGTGAATTGATTTGTTGTGAAATGTGGATATATATGACATGTCGAGTGTTAATGTTGAATTAAATGTATTATTTTGATTTTGTTGTGGATTTGTTGTGTATTATTAAAGTTAATGAAAAATTTGAATTTTTTTATTTAATAATTTTGCATTGTTAGGTGTATACTTATCCTATAGGATTTGCTTAAATATGAGAGTTTTTATTATGTTGTTATGTGTATGAAATGATTAATTTGGGTGAGACTAATACCCTTTTTCATTAAATAAAAATTACTTAATTAATTGTGGTAGGCATGGAGGTGTCGGTGGATCCAGGGACGAGTGATCGATCTGTCCTGACATTTGATGTAGCTGCACACTTCAATTGGGGTAGTGCCATGTTGGCTTATCTGTATAGGCAGCTGTGTCGCGGTTTTCAGAGTGGGAGCACGGAGGTTGGGGGTTTTATGCTTCTATTGCATATTTGGTCATGGGAGTACATTCACATTGGCCGTCCCATTATAGTACGATACCATGGGCCTAATGGAGAACCACTTCATGATGAGCCTCCACATCTTCTTGGACCACATCATCGACGAGTGAGGATCCACTAGGGCGTCGATATGTTTTACTCAATTATATTTATGTTACAGTAACTATAATATAGTTGTATTAATTATAATTGTATTAATATATACTACATGAATGGTTAGATGGGTATTTGCTGACCTGTGTCGTACATCATCGACTTCTGGTCTCGATTTCTACAGGGATGCATTTGATCGCATGTCTGATGATCAGGTACGGTGTATACAGCTTACATTGTTATGGTTTCATATCATTAACAATGTGTTTCATATCATAATATAACATTAACTATGATATGAATAAGATTAAGACTAATTTTTATCCTTATGAAACAGATTACATGGATGCCATATACAGCTCAGATGTTAGAGGAGTTACCCCCGACAGGACGAGAGCATTATGCTATATGGAGAGCACGTGTGTCGTTGATATGCTTTGACATTGTTGAGCTTCATTTGCCTGGTCGTGTTATGCGGCAGTTTGGCTATGAGCAGGTCATTCCAGCACCTGTCAACACATTTGTAGATCTTCATAAGCTGGATAGGCGTGGTAAGCCTACAGAGGATTGGTCGCTCAGACATGCCCGATACTTGGCTATATGGGATAGGCGAGCGGGGATTGTTGTCACTGGGACGTCGACATTTGTCCCATCTGTTTATGCAGAATATATGAGATGGTATTACAACATCACGCGGGTGTTTGTATCTCTATCTTTCAGACTCCCTACTCACCATTGTAATCCCAATTCCATGGCTTTGCACTTAACGATGAGTGTGCTCATAATTATTAAAGTAATTCATGTTCTTTATTTAACATTTTTTACTTATTTCAAAATATTTATATTTCATTTTTCACAGTTCAGACACATGTTTTGCAGCATATACATGAACGAGCGACTGCCACAGTTAGTGAGACGCATGACGTGGACACGTACCATCAGATCTAACAGGCATTGCTTCCTTGTGTTTGTAATGAGGCGATTCTTCCAGCTCAGGTCTCCAATTTCATCCACAAAGGATGAATATCACCACTATAGCCTAAAGGGGAAAAATGTGGCAACAACCTCTAAAACCTAATCTGCCAATTCAAGGTCCACGGAGGAGCAGTTTGTTCGAATTATGGAGGAAGGGTTTTTGGCTATATCCCAAGCGGCAGAGAAAGAGAACAATATATATAGGCAAAGCTTCAGGAATCGAAATGGAAACTTACCATATAAGAGAGATACACATTGAAGCCTGAAAGGAGGAAAGAAACGCGCAGCCCGAAGGGGGATGGTGCGAACGGGAAGAAAAGAAAACATGGGTCGGATCCTCCTCATTTGTGAATTGGGCTTATGATTAAATTTGGGCAAATACCTAACATATTCTCCACCTTATTGGACCATAGTGGTTTAGAGTCAAAGCTCTAACACAATTTTGAGACTCATCATCGCTGGATTGCCCGAATGATCACAAAGACACATTCAGGCAAAAGGGGTAAGATCATCAGGCAACTTATCCGCAATCAATGTTTAACGTGCGCTTGCACGACAACAACTTTTCGACAGAGAGACATTTAGTCCCCATGTCAGCAGGATTAAATTCAGATGGAATTTTAATCAACTTGATATCACCTGCACTTACAATATCACGAATAAAATGAAATCTAACATCAATATGCTTAGTTCTATCATGAAAACAGGGTTTTTGCACAGTTGAATAACAGATTGACTATCAGAAAACACACAAATGTCCTGCTCAAGACTACCAATCTCCGTTAGGAGACGTTTAAGCCAAATGACTTCCTTAAACGCTTCGGTAGCGGCCACATACTCGGACTCAGTAGTGGAGAGGGCAACAATGGGTTGAAGTTGAGACTTCCAACTAATGCAAGACCCGCAAAGGGTAAACACATAAGAGGTAGTGGACTTCCTATTGTCTCTATCGTTAGCAAAATTCGAGTCCACATACCCACTCAACTTAACACCCTCAGAACACTTAGTGAAAACCAACCCATGATTAACAGTAGATTTCAAGTACCTAAGCAACCACTTAAGAGCATTCCAATGAGGTAAACCAGGATTAGACATATACCTACTCAAACAACTCACAACATAGGCAATGTTGGGTCTAGTACTCACCATGAGATACACCACGGACCCAATAACATTCGAATAAGGCACAGATTTCATTTTAGCAATTTCAGGAGCAGTCTTGGGAGACTGATCCTTACTTAACACAAAGTGGGACGCCATAGGAATAGAGACGGTAGTACCAGAATGCATGTTATATTTACTCAAAATCTTTTCAGTGTATGAAATCTGATTGAGTACTAACACACACTTACTCCTATCTCTAACAATGTTAATGCCTAGGATCCTCTTGGCATCACCTAGGTCTTTCATTGCAAAGTTCTCAGTGAGACGCTTTTGCACACCTTTAATGGCGTCATCCGAAGGACTAACAATCAACATATCATCCACATAAAGTAATAAAAATACAGGCACAGAAGAAGTATTTTTAAAGTATAGGCAATGGTCGCACTCGGACTTGTGAAATTTCAAAGATGACATGCACTGGTCAAATTTGATATTCCACTGCCTCGGGGACTGCTTCAGGCCGTACAAGGCCTTCCTAAGCAAACACACATGATTACTCTTCATGGGATCCACAAAGCCCTCAGGCTGAGTCATATAGATTTTTTTTGTCTAAATGACCATGCAAGAAAGCAGTGGTGGCGTCCATTTGCTTCATTTCCCAATCATTATGAGCAACAAGAGCAAGCATCATTCTAATCGTAGTGAATTTAACAACAGGAGCAAAGATTTCAGCATAATCAACACCTTCCTTTTGAGTAAATCCTTTAGCTACTAACCTAGCCTTATATCTAATGTCGTTAGGCTCTTCCTTAACCTTAAATAGCCACTTACACTCAACTACAGAACTATTGGGCAGTCTAGGAACTAACGTCCAAGTCTTATTCGCTCTAAGTGACTCCATCTCACTTTCCATGGCGCAAAGCCATTTAGCGGACTCATTAGACTTAAGGGCCTCTCTATAGGTTCTAGGTTCGTTAAGCTCAAGGGTCTCAAAGACAGAGAAAGCAAACATAGAAGTATCACACACATGGAAAGCAAAATCAGGCATACTATCTGCAGTTCTCCTAATTTCTCTCCTACTTCTATCTCTGACAAGTTGGTAATCATGCAAATCATTTTCACTAGAATCAGCACTCTCATCATGCGATTCATTGTTATTTGAATGCACATGAGAATGCTCCACCTCACTCGAAGTGGTGGTATTATCATGCTCAGAAGAATCATGCAATTCAGAAGAATCATGCAAGTCAGAAGAATCATGATTAGCAAACAAAGGACTTGCAGCATATGGTATGGACTCCACCTCAACAGGTGTACTACTAGGGCTCGACTCAGAATCAGGAACTGACTTAACCAAACAAGGGAACTCAGATTCATTGAAAACAACGTTTCTATTTACCACAACCTTGAAACCTACCTGGTTTGTATCCCAAACCATGTACCCCTTCACTCCCTCAGAATAACCTAAAAAGGCTCCTTTCTTAGACCTAGGATCCAATTTGTCACCTTGTTGGTGCACATACGCAGCACACCCAAACACTCTAAGATTAGACAAATCAAGGGGTTTGTTTGAGAAAACAGATTCAGGGCATTTCCCACCCAAGGGAACAGAGGGAGACCGATTAATCAAGTAGACAGCAGTGTTGACTGCTTCACCCCAAAACTTTTTAGACAAACCGGCGGTAGCAAGCATACTCCTAACCTTATCTAGAACAGTCCTATTCATTCTCTCGGCTATCCCATTTTGTTGGGGAGTATAGGGCACAGTTTTGTGCCTTCTGATCCCACAATCAACACAAAGTTGGTCCATATCCTTATTGCAAAACTCTAATCCATTATCGGTCCTAAGGGTTTTAACCTTCTCACTGGTTTGATTTTCTATAAGGGTTTTCCGCACCCTAAATTTCACAAAGACATCGGACTTATGCTCAAGGAGACGGACCCACACCTTCCTAGAAAAATCATCGATAATGGATAGGAAATATCTCTTACCGCCGTGGGTAGAGACACTAGAAGGACCCCAAACATCAGCATGAACATACTCTAACACAGAGGTACACTTAGTGGGATTAAGATAAGGGGAAGAGGGGAATGTAACCTTATGTTGTTTGCCTAACACACAAGACTCACAGAAAGGGATGGAGGACACAGAATCCTTACCAAAACAACCAGATTTATGCAAAATCTCTAAACCCTTATTACTCATGTGTCCTAATCTATTATGCCACAAAGTAGTTTTATCAGAACTAACAACATGAGCAGAATCACAGAAAGGCTGAGCATGGCACACATACAAATTATTCACCCTTTTTGCCTTAAACAAAACAAGGGAATTTTTCAAATCTTTCATGCACCCGTTTCCCCATTTACCCTCAAGTCCACTACCCTCAAAAGCAGCGACAGAAAACAAGTTATGACGCAAATCAGGAACATGCCTCACATTTTTCATAGTAAACACAGTCCCATTATCAAACTTCAAGCAAACATCACCCACCCCATGTATTTTGCATTTCTTATTATCAGTAAGAGACACAAAACCATCATTGCAAGAATCATAAGAGGCAAACAGAGATCTAAAAGGTGTCATATGATAAGTACAACCAGAGTCAATCAACCACTCATTTTCAGTCATGCTACTCAACACAGAATTGGCAAAATCACAGACCATAAAAACTTCATCATGCATGTTATTATCATCTACCACATTAGCATGTTCAGATTTCTTAGGGTGAGGACAATCCTTAATAAAGTGGCTAGAATTCCCGCAATTATAGCACACTCTCTTCTTAGACTTACCTCTCTTCTTACCCGGGTCATTGTTATTGGTCTGGTTCTTATTGTTGCTACCCTTCTTATGGTTTCTAGATCTACTCTTAGACCTACCCCTCACAAGCAACGCTTCACCAGAGTCCCTAGATTGACTGTTACTACCCCTCGAGTGTCTAAGGTCTAACTCCTTACTTCTTAATCCATTAACGACTATATCTAACGAGATATCGTCTCTACCATACTTTATGGCAGATTTGACGTCATTGTAAGAGTCAGGGATGGCATTAAGTAACACTATGGGTGTGAAGTCATCTATGTGTTTATCACCGGCTTGCTTAATGTTCTGAATAAGCTTGTTAAACACATCTAGGTTCTCGTCTATGTGTTTTCGTAAGGTCAAGCCTAAATCTAAAGAAATTCTCAAGCAAAAACAATTTACCAGGCAAAGAAGTATCGGTATACAACTTATCTAACTTGTCCCACAACTCTTTTGCGGAATCTATAATACCCACCTTTCTGAGCACTGCATCAGAAAGGTTTAGGTAAATAGAGGAACAAGCAGTTTCATTCATCTCAACGCGCTTTGAAGCATCCTCGGAGTCTAAATAGAGACCAGTCACAGCTCTATAGACTTTCTGTTGGATCAACACGCATTTGATTTTCTGTTTCCAGATATCAAAATCTGTCTTTCCGTTAAATGGAAGCATGCCATATTGATTGACAGCCATATTAACCGGAAAGCAAGCACAACACGCAAGAGAGTAAATAAAAAATTTATCAGGCTATCAACCGGTACGAAGCAACTAGCACGAACAAACCGAGAAGACCTATGAACACAAGGCTCGGGTACAATCTCCTTGTTCTTTCGTACAAGCAAAGATAAAAAATTTATTTACTCAACAGACAGATAAATGATTAATTATAACCTATAGGGCTATCAATTGTATGA